TATAGCGAGGGGCAGAGTGCCCCCGGGCTGTTCTCCCCACAAAAGCATTGGCACAGCAGCACCCTGGCTGCCCCTGCCCGTCTGCATGAGGCCAGGGCAGCCCCAGTGACTGGGACACGTCCTGCTCGCCCAGGGAGGTTTCTCTGGGGTTTCTGCTGCCCTGCAAGTGCAGACACATCCCTGGGCACCCCACCCCTCCACGGCAGGGCTATTTGCACAAACACAATTTACAAACAGAATGCATTCTTTAAGAAAGCTAGCTTCATGATAGATTTTCCAGCTGAATAATTCTCCAGGCTAACGCTGAGTCTGGTAAACTACAAAAATACATGTTCTCATTATTTGCAAGAGCTCAGCAAGACCCAGATTGAGGGGGAGAACCCTTCAGCTGTGATGAGAACTGAAGCTGCTCTGCCCAGGAGTGCTTTGGGGAATGAAAGGTGAAATGAATGATTGTCTTTAAAACCAGCTTGGTGGAGCAGGCTGCCAGTCCCAGCTCTGTACAGAGTTAGGTGGAGTTTTCGTTCTGGAGAGCAAGCTGAGGGTGGAAGGTGCTGGGGTTTTGAGGGGGAAGCACACAGGACACCAAATTGCTGCTGCTGCACAAATTCACACTCCAAAAAAGTCCTCTACTTCCCACAGCAAGAGGAACACCCCTGCAAATGACTCAGGGGAAGGCTGGATGGGGCTTGGAGCAGCCTGGGGCAGGGATGGGCAGGGATGACCCTGCAAGTGCCTCCCAAGCCAGACCGTTCTGGGATTCTGTGCTGTGTGTGATCCCCTACAGCAGCACAGGAGTGGGAGGTTTCAGCCGTAGAGAGGATAAATGAAAGGCTGGTCCCACGTCACACAAGCACAACAGAAGGCACCTGTGCAATAACGCAGGTGTTTAGCTCAGAAGGAAACCCCCGGCTGGCCTGTGTGGAGGTGTTTCCCCTGGGATTTGGCAGAGCCGTGGAGGAGCAGCCCCGCACAGCAGAGATGTCTGGGGTGAGCAGGGCTGAGGAGCTCCCAGCTCAGAATCCAGACCTGTCTGCAGCCCCCCTCAGCCCCAGCTCCTGCCCCAGGGCCTCCATCCCCGCCTCAGCCACAAATTCAGGCTGACGCTGTCATCTCTGCGCTCTTCAGCGTGCAGCAGCCCCGAGACAGCGGAGCAGAAAGCCCGACAGAGACACCCCCTGCTCTGACACAAATTGACAGTTGTTAACCCGCTGGAAATCGCCTCCACCGCCGAGCCAATCCCGTCTCTGAGAGACGAACCCGCAAGGTTTGCAAAAGGAATAAAAGCTTCTGAGTCAATGCCTTTGCTCAATGGGAGTCTCCTTGCCGGCCTGAATTTCCCCACACTTCACTTCAAACAAGGATGTCTGCGGTCACCCTGCACAGCAGAGCGGCCAATTAGCGTGCTGAGGCTGGAGCTCATCAGTGCCCCTGAAGGAGTCATTCCAGAGAGCCTGAGCACTCACACAGGGCTGCCAGCCCCAGCAGCTCCTCACCTGCCCTGGGATCCCTTCTGAAAGGGAGGAAAACCCCAAAACCCCAAACCCACCCTCTGCTGACAGCGGGTACACCAGGAACACAGAACAACCTGCTGCTGCTCAACTGATCAGAGTGCAAAGCCATCTAAAGAGAAGGAATTATCCACAGAACTGAGAGGCTCACAGGGACACATCCTGCCCTGGGGGTGCAGGAGGCTCCCCCTGGGGAAATGTCCCCATCCGTGGTTAAATAAAACCATCAAGCTCGGAACTCCTGAAACTGGTATTTCCGATTGCTGCCTACAGTAGGAAATAGGTTATGTGTTCTTAATTAAAAATATTGAGGGCCATTTCTAAAGAGAATTTATATTGTTGTAAGAAATGCAAGGGTTAGAGGAGCATCTGAAAACAGGTGGGTCCACCATGAACCTAAAGCTGGCTTGCTGCTGGTGCCCATGGCTGGCATCTCCCCATGATGCCCAGCTCCACAGACCAGTTAAACACAGCAAGCTGCTGTTAGAAACATGAATACAGACTGGCTTGGGTAGCAGGGGACTGCAGAGACCATGGAGCTCCAACCCTCTGCCATGGTGCTTTCCCCATCCTTCCATCACTGGAAAATTGAAAACAATATTTTAATGTTATTTGTTCCAGCACATTCCACACGTTGCTTCCTTTGAATGAACAAATATCAAATGGAGCTATAATAAAGGCTGGGGGTTTTAATTAAATTAAGATAATCAGGGCAAAAAATACGGATGCTCAAGCCTCTTCTATAAATGTAAGAGTTAATATCTAATAAAAATTTCTCTTAGGTAAGTGACAGCTTATTTATTTGTACACAGGCAAGTGCTACCCACCCCTGTGAGCCTCCAGGCTCCAAAGTTAAAGAGACACTAAAAATAACTGAAACACCATCCTAAACCTGCCTGGGACAGCCAAATGGCCTGCAAAGCAGAATCCTCTCCTCCAGGACACACAGCTCCCAGTTTCCCCTGGCTGCAGCCCCCTGCACTGGTGCCCACTGATGGGGTCTCTGCTGAGGGGCACCCCTGGGTGCCCACCACCCCTACCTGGGCACTGCCCTCTTTGACCCAGGAGAGCTTCATCTCATAGTGCAATTACAATTCAATAACTAATACATAAATCTGGCACGTAAATAACACTTCTGTAAAGCCTGTGCAGCTGCAGCTTTCTCTGCTGCTCTCCCCGTCATGTTTATCTGCCAAGTAACTCCTTATCAGCACAAATTTAAAAAAAAGTGAGGGAAATTGTGAATTAAAATACTTTCTGATTAGTATTTGTCTTTTCTCTGCAAAATGAAAAATATTTTCATCTCCTGCATTTAAAATGTATTTTTAAAAGCAGTGTGACTGCTTGCTGTCCATACAAATCTGACAGTGCATTTAATTACCTCCCAATAACTCTGTGTTAGGACTGACCACTGATCTAAAACATAAACCCAGAATTTGTTATTATATCACACTGAAATTTAACACCTAAATTATTAGCAATAATTAAATAATGTTTACATAAAGACTCTGGTAATTTCAATGCCAAATTCAGTATTTCCTCTGTTATCACTTTAGGAGAATAGAAATAACAGATTAATAACACCTGTAATTATTAACCCAAGTGAGAGAGACCAGCAGGGGAGGGAGTTCCCCAGAATCCCAGGGTAAAGGGGTTTCCAGCTGCTCAGCCCATCTTACCTGTCCAGAGCTCTGATCCCTTCCTGCCCGTGCTCCCAGGGATTGGGCACATGGGGCCCTGCCTGGTGGCAGCACCTCGCTCCTGGCCTTGGTCCTGGCTTTGGTCCTCATCCCTGGCCTTGTTCCTCATCCCTGGCCTTGTTCTTGGCTTCGTCCTTCATGCTTGGCCTTGGTCCTGGCCTTGTTCCTCATCCCTGGCCTTGGTCCTGGCCTTGTTCCTCATCCCTGGCCTTGTTCCTGGCTTCGACCTTCATCCCTAGCCTTGGTCCTGGCTTTGACCTTCATCCCTGGCCTTGTTCCTCATCCCTGGCCTTGTTCTTGGCTTCGTCCTTCATCCCTGGCCTTGGTCCTGGCCTTGTTCCTCATCCCTGGCCTTGGTCCTGGCCTTGTTCCTCATCCCTGGCCTTGTTCCTCATCCCTGGCCTTGTTCTTGGCTTCGTCCTTCATGCTTGGCCTTGGTCCTGGCTTTGTTCTTCATCCCTGGCCTTGGTCCTGGCCTTGTTCCTCATCCCTGGCCTTGGTCCTGGCCTTGTTCCTCATCCCTGGCCTTGGTCCTGGCCTTGTTCCTCATCCCTGGCCTTGGTCCTGGCCTTGTTCCTCATCCCTGGCCTTGTTCCTGGCTTCGACCTTCATCCCTAGCCTTGGTCCTGGCTTTGACCTTCATCCCTGGCCTTGTTCCTCATCCCTGGCCTTGTTCTTGGCTTCGTCCTTCATGCTTGGCCTTGGTCCTGGCCTTGTTCCTCATCCCTGGCCTTGGTCCTGGCCTTGTTCCTCGTCCCTGGCCTTGCCCCACAGCCCTGCATTTCTGCGCTCGGCTGTGGATCCAACGTGGTCAATCACACTGTGGAATTTCTTCTGGGTTTTCCCCTCTTCTCCTGTTTTTCTAGAGGATTCTTTTCCCTTCCTGGTTCCTGTGCCAGCCTCCCAGGCTCGGGCTCTGTGGGACTTGTGCTCCCTTTCCCCGAGGTGAGGACCCTTCCAGGTGAGGACCCTTCCAGGTGAGGACATGTTCCAGGTGAGGACACCTTCTAGGTGACGACACCTTCCAGGTGACAACACCTTCTGTTCCCTCTCCCAGCCCAGTGCACGTGGGTCAGGGATGATCTGGTTTAGTTCATTCTTTTCCAGGCTGAACTTTTTGCTGGGACAGTGTTAAGCCTTTTGTTGTTTTTCAGGGACAGCCAATTAGAAATTATTGCATAATTTTTCCCACCATGGTTTACTGACAACTCAAAATAATTATAGCTTGGTTTCCTGAATGTAGCTTTACATTTTCCCTAAAACTGGGCTTGTGGGATATTCAACAAAGCATGGGACATACCCTGTGCAACGGAGAAATTCCTTGGAACAAACCACTTCATTTTCACTCACTTCCATCTTTTCATGAGCTACTCCTCTGGAACACTTCTTCCAAGACAGATTTTTGAAGAACTGTGGAACAAACACGAGCGTGTGGCACACAGACAGGACAGGGGCACTTCTGCACAGAAGCAATTTGCCACCTGCTTAGCAGGGAACTGGGATAAATTCAGTGTATCTGAATCAGAGATGGTGCTGCTGTCAGGGGCTGGCCCTGCAGAGAGCCTGGGCTGCAGAGAGGCAGCAGCAGAGCTCTTGGCTTCCTTGGTGGGCTCAGTTCGGAGGCAGCAGCAGAGTTCTCAGAGCTCTTGGCTTCCTTGGTGGGCTCAGTCCTGTCCTCTCCAAAGGCTCCTCGGGGGTTTTGGGGGTGCAGGGACTCCCCCCAGCCCAGCTCAGCCCCGTGCAAGTCCCACAGGCTGCAGCTGCCCTGGCCAGCAGCACACAACGAGACAGATCCGAGGGTGGAAGGGGCAAAGTCTCTGTGTGGGTCTGGGGAAGCAGGGCTGTCCCTCGGGCAGGGGCAGCAGGAGCAGCCGCAGCGGCCTCAGGGGCTGAAACAGGACAGGAGAACAGCAATCAAAGGAAAGCCCACTGGGCAGAAACAACATTCACTGAACTTCTGTGATGTCCTGTTTATAATTATCTGCTGAATTGATAAAAAAGGATTTGTGATCTATTCCATCTCTTCCATTCTGTTGTTAGTGGGAAGCGTTTCCCTCCATGCCATCCGTGCCCTGGTCATTTCTGGCAGCACACACAGAAACAGGGCAATTTATCCCCCATTTACACGGGAAAAGGGGATTCAGGGGGTCCCTGGGGCCCCACGGCACAGTGCCTGGAGGAACACACCCCAGTAAATGCCATGCTGCCCCAAACCCACCTGGCTGCTGCCCTGGAGGCAGGACAGGAGAGGGGCTGAGGGTTCTGTGGGCATCCAGCACAGATCAGTGGAGCTGCCCCTGATGCACTCACAGGAGTCACCCCAGACTGCGGGTTTGCCCTGGCTTGACAGAGCTTTCCTTGCTTTTAAGCCTGCTTAATTTTACTTTGTCCTTCCCTCTAAAGAAGGAAATTCTGTTTGACAAGTTTTTGCCTGCTGCAGTCCAGGCTTCACATTTTTTTTTAAAGGATTTGGAGATTTCCATTTTTGGGTTCTCTGGCATGCCCAAGAGACCCTTCAATCCTGCTGACACAGCAAAAGGAAGCTCTTTTCTCTATGGGAAAATAGAGATGCTCTAGGAGGCGAAGAGCAGAGAGCAGAGCAGACCCGAGGGCTTACCTTGTGCATGTGGCCTGAAGGACTATGACCAAAGAATGAAAGCTAAAGAGAAAAATAAAAACAAAAATAAAAACTGAAAAGGGGAGAGAAGAGAGGAAAAAATGGAAGAGAAGAGAGAGATTAAGAGTTTACAGTGTGTTTAGCTGAGAAATAAGCTGTGGTTACAGACAGAGCACAACAAAACTCTCAGGTGAGGAGGAATATGGAGTGTGAAGTGAAGTCAGAGTGCTCAGGGCTCAGCTTGGCTCAGGAGAGCTCCTGCGTCCCCTGGGCTGGTGACAGTGACCCCTGTGAGCCCAGCCAGCCCCAGCCACGGGCTCGGGGGAAATGGGGAACAGCAGCTGAGCTGTGACCCCTGAAACACCTGAGCCCGGCCCTGCTGGGCTCTGGGCTCAGGCGCTGGCCCAGCTCAGCCCTGCTGCACCCGTGGGCAGGGCAGGGCTCAGCTGAGGCCATTCTGGGCTCAAACACACCAGTCTGGGCTGGCTGCAGAACGGTCTGTGGCACAGACTGAGGCTGCAGGCAGGGAGGAGAGCAAAGGCCCCGTTCCTGCAGGGAAAGGCTGCTCCAGGCACTGCCTTCCCAGGGCTGCCATGGATGGGAGGGAAGCAGGGAGCAGCAGCCCCTTCCCCAGAGCTCCTCACCATCCCACCTGTGCTCCTGCTGCTGAGCCCTCGGCTCTGACCCTTCCCTGCCCAGCGTCAGGCTGCCCCGAAGGGCGACAGGGAGCAAGGACTCAGTTCAACCAGCTCACCTGCCCTCCTCGGAGGGGCTGGTGCTAAAGCAAGCTGTTTTGTGGAGCTGTGCCCCTTTCTCACTGCGCTACACACACGAGCTCTCTCTAGGGTGGTTTCCTTGGCCCAGGTGAAATGGAGAATGGTCATGTGCACACACAGCAGCTGTTCCGTCTGCATGACCTTACCTTTTCCTCTAACTCTTTTATTTGTCTTTTTTGGCCTTCAATTCTTTCTTCTAGCTCTTTAATTCTCTGTCAGATTTCAAATAAAAAAATATTTATTAACCAACCAAATACAGACGAACCCAGAGGATGCATTAGTTTGGGGGACATAGATTGTATGTGCTGTGCTTCTCCCAAAGCCAGATTGGGTATTATGTCACCCTGGTTTTTTAAGATTGTCTAAGCCTTCTGATGTTGGCATTCTTGTAGTAAACTTTCTCATACGCTTTCTGTAAATAACTCATTGTTTTGCATTCTTTTATGGAGGAGGAGAAATCTGATGGACTGTTGGCTTGTCCAGTGTCACTGGAGAGGTGGCACTGTCACCCTCCAATCCACTGCCACTTTTGGACATCTATAAATGTCGGAGTCAAAAAATAAACTTCCCTTTTTTCTTCACCTTGAGAACAGTGGTGTGCGCTTGTGTTCTTTGGTGCCCTACAGTGACAGGTATCAGGCTGCAGGTGAGTGCTCTGTGATTGTCACCGTGTGTGACAGAGGCAGGAGCGGCACGCTGCCCTGTCTGCAGGGGTACCCAGGGCCAAGCAAAGTCTGTCCCAGCTCTGACAGCTCCCAGGGCTGTCCCTCCCGAGCTCCCAGCCCCAGACCCACCTGCTGGGCGTGCTGGATGAGCTCCATCCTCTCGCGCAGGATCTGGGCGTCCCTCTCGCGGAGCTCGCTCATCACCTGCCGCTTCCACTGCTCCACGGCGCTCTTCAGCTTCTCCTTCTCCTCTTCTGAAAGAAGTTCGGAAATTTTGGCTCCAGCTTCTTGCTGCAGGGCATCATAGAGCATGGCTTCTAATTCCAGAATTTGCTAATCAAAAACAATATAAAGCTGTCAGCTCGACCTTGTTCCCGGCGGGGTGAGGAGGTTGTGGGGAGCGGAGCGTCCGACCCTGAAAGGCAACGGGAGCGGAGCGGGGGCTGCGTGCTGAGCCTCCACAGGGCAGCACTGAAAACTCCGTCCACAGGGAGAGAGAACAGCCCATCCTGAGGGGCTCCGAGCAGCCCTGGGGCTGGCACAGCCCCTGGATCCAGCCTGCTCTGCCCCACGGACATGGGGAGCCAGCTGCTCCTTCCTGGGGATGGCACCGTGGGGAGAGGAGGAGAAGGAGGAAAGGTAAAGGAAGGGGGAAAGGGAGAAGGGAGAGGGAAAAGGGAGAAGGGAAAATGTAAACAGGAAAAAGGAAAGAGGTTCATAAGGACTCATTTTGTGAGCTACAGATATTTTTACATGTATTTTGCCATCCCTTGGTTGCCCTTTCCTGGTAGCTCTCCTGCTGCCCAGCAGAGGACAGAACCTCGTCCCAGCAAAATGCTGCTGTTTGATACCTGTATTTCTGCTGTGCCCCAGCCTCATGGACACAGCCCCAGCCCTGTCTGGAGACCTGGCCTGGGCAGGAGAGGGGCAGGGAACCCTCCCGGCCCCCCGAGCAGCAGCAGGGTCAGCCAAGTGCTGCCTGGAGCAGGACCCTGCAGCAGCCAGGCTCAGGGGTTTTCTGCTAATCCTGTTGGCTCTGCTTCAGGGGCATCGTGATTAGCTGCTCCTCATCTCCAGGGCACAAAGGAAACATGGAAGCGCAGCGAATTTTATAAAGCAGAAGAGCTTTTTCCACTCGAATTCCAGGGCAGCACAAAGCTTCCTTTGCTGCTTGCAGGCTGCATTTGTGCCCTGGAACAAAGCAGTGCCTGGGACACATGTGTGCTGCCTTCAGGAAATAGGGGGAAATGCAAATAACCCTCAGCCCCTCTGCAGGGGCTGACACTCCTGCACTCACTGCTTCTATCGGCAGAGTCACCTGCAGCTGCACAAACTGTGCCCAGGACAGCAGAGGATGGAACCACAGAGTCCCAAAGGCTGCCTTGTTCCATGCCATGGGCAGGGAGATTCCACTGCAGGGGGTTATAGGGCTGGAGCCACAGCTGAGCGGCTTGTGTGCTTTGCAAGGTTTGCATTGTGCCTTGGCTCCAGCTCAGAATGTGGCAAAATCAGTCCTAAAGACCACCCACAGGACAGAAAATGCATGGAGCAAAGGCTCCCCCAAATGGTCCGTGACACAAGTAGACACCAGGAGGCAGAAACAGAGGCATAAACACTCACTGCTCCTCAGAAAGTGTAACTGTGCTCTAGGTTTGTGTAGAACTGGGAAAATGAGATAAGCTGAGAGGAAACTTTATGCCTTTTGTGGATATATAAAAAAATATATATAACCTTTCTCTCATTGATGGAAACAAGACAGCTGATGACTGAAAAGATGGGTGAAATGCCTTAGGATCAGCTAATGATGAACCTGGCTTAAAAGCAGTTTCATTTCAGATTTACACATCCCAGAATACCTACAGCTGCTCTGGTGACAGAGGGTGCAATCCAAAATCCAAGGGAACATGCAGGCTAAAATATTTTTTTTAAATGTAAGACAAATTATTGGAAACCTAATTTCCTTATCAGACCTTTACTGAAGCTTTGGTTGAATTAAAACTGGTGTTGAGCAAGTCAGTGTTCAGGTGCTAACCCTGCAGGGGTCACTCAGACCCAGGAGCTCTGTTCTCGAGGCAGCCCTGGTCAGCTCAGGGTGCAGAGGATTTGCTGGACTGTGACCCATGCAGCCCCTGGGGCACCCCACAGCAGCACCACAGCAGCACCCATGGTCAACGGGCTCACCCAGGTGTCCCAAGCCAGCCCCTGTGACTGCTCTCACCTTGTGAGCCTGGTCCAGGGACTGCTTCCTGAAGTCCAGCTCATCGTCCAGGTATCCCTTCTGCTTGCTGAACAGCTCCTGGGGAGCAAGGCAGGGCTGTCAGCGACCCCCCGGGCCCAGCCCCAGCCCCGCTGCCCCTCCCCGGTACCTTCTCGTTCTCCAGGTCCAGCATCTTCTGCTGCAGCGCAGACTCGGTCACCTCGATCTGCTGGAGCCACTGCGGGACAGACAGAGCCTGAGCAGGGCCCCGGGCTGGGCACGGGCCAGCCGGCAGGCACCACTCGAAGGGCACAGCACAACCGACCCTGCCCTGCTCTTCTCTGGAAGGCTGCATTTCAAAGGCTGCTCACCTTCCCAGCCCATGCGCCTCACCTGCCCCCCTGTGCTCCTCACCTGCCCCCCTGTGCTCCTCCCCTCCTGTGCTCCTCCCCTCCTGTGCTCCTCACATTCCCCTCTGTGCTCCTCACCCTCCCATCCGCTGCTCCTCACCTCCCCACCTCTGCTCCTCCCCTTCCCAGCTCCCTCACCATCCCACCTGTGCTCCTCACCTTCCCATTCTCTGCTCCTCACCTTCCCAGCCCATGCTCCTCCCTTCCCGTGCTCCTCACATTCCCCTCTGTGCTCCTCACCTGCCCACCTCTGCTCCTCCCCTCCCCACCTGTGCCCCTCACTTCCCCATCCTTTGCTCCTCACCTTCCCAGCCCCCTCACCTCCCCAGCTGTGCTCTCACCTTCTCAGCCAGCGTGAGGACAGTCCTGGCCTGGATGATGACCACCTGCTCCTCGTTGGTCAGATTCTGCACCAAAAGCAGAGCACAATTACAACAGATCCCAGCTCTTGTACTAACCCACTGCTTGGGCCACTGCTGTTTCTGGAATTAAATATGTCTGAGGAACAACAAACTGAGGCAGAGAAAATTAATATTGTAATGCAAAGTCATCGTGAAAGGCATTGTCACTATTCATTACCAACCCTTGTCATACATAATTCTTCCAAAATTCTCATATTTACCAACAAGAGCAGGGACTGGATCTGTGTGTACCCAACAGGGAATAAACACACCTTTTACACAGGACAAGGTCAAGCTCAGCATGAAGGGCCATGGGGAGAAGAGATGCAGTGCTCATCCCATGCACCATCCCCACTTTGTGCAGCCAGGTGATGATTTTGGGAAGCATTTGTTGAGATGTTGGACACTCCATCCATCTTCTGTTGCTTTCTCCAAAATATCAAAGTACTGGAACTGTGCTTTGCATTCCATCCCAAGCTTCAGTGTGCCCACAGGGACACAGGAGGAGGGTCTGGCTGCGTGGGACCCCGAGCCAGAGCCAGGGCAGCTCCTGAGCAGGGGGTGCACAACAAGGGGGACTCTGGAGAGCTTCAGCCTCAGGCACTGCTGGGACAGGGCAGTGCTGCCCTGCAGGGATTGAGCCAGGGAATCCTGGCGTGCTCTGGGTGGGAAGGGACCTCAAATCCCCTCCATTCCCTTCTCCTTTTCACGCTGCTGTTTTGGCTTCTTGTTTAATATCCTGGTTAGTATCAAGGGCTAATGGGTTATTGGGCAAACTCAAAGCACTCAGCTGCTGAAATGCAAAAGCAAAGCAAGTGCAGAGCAAGCAAACCAAGAAACCGTGTGTGACCAGAGGTCAGAAAGCCCCAAACACCAACGTGACTCTGAGTAACAGGGATCTGGGAGCAGTGTGGTGACACAAGCCCTGCAAACCTGCAAACTTCACTCCTCAGTGGCAGCAAAACCTTGGAATGGCAGCAAATGCTTTGCTCGCAGCCCAGAGCAGAGGCAGGACAGGCTGTGCAGCACCAAAGCAGGCAGCTCTGCTCACTCCGCACGAGGACAGGTGTTCCCCAAAGCATGCACAATTTATTAAAGGAACATACACTTACGGCGTTATCCCCTAAAATGTCCAACTTTTTCATCAGCTCTGCCACTACAATGTCCTGGCAAGAGAGAGACGGAGAGGCAGGAGTCAGCACGGGGCACCTGGCTGGGCTCGGGAGGGGACAGGAAAGGAGCATCCCTTACTGTTACACCTTCAGCCTCGCAGTACACCTGCAGGGGGCTCTTCCCCTCCGTGAAGGGGCCGTGGTGGAAGGTGATGGCCGGGGAGCGCCGCTCCCTCTCCTGAAAGGACAGGAACCCTGGGTTAGCCCCGGCTGTGCCACACCGCAGCACCGTCAATGGTCTGGCTTGGGAGGGCCCCTGAGGCTCATCCCAGCCGCCCTCCTGCCGCAACAACCTGCCAACCACACCGCTGGTGTTGGCGGTGTTTGTGCTGTTTGCGGTTCTCCTCTTTGACCAGACCCTGCTCGCAGTGCCCCTCTGCAGTGCCCCACACCCGCAGGATGGGGCTGCCCCGGGGCTCACCTCCAGCTCCAGGATCCTGAACTCCAGCAGCTCGTTCTGGTCCTTGGCGTCCTGCACGTCGTGCTTGAGCCGTGCCTCCTCTGCCTCCATCTGCCTGATCTGCCAAAGCACAGGGCACCTGAGCCGGGGGGGCAGGCACAGCCAGGGCACCTGAGCCAGGTGGGCAGGCACACCCAGGTGGACAGGCACAGCCAGGTGGGCAGGAACACCCAGGGCACCTGAGCCGGGGGGGCAGGCACAGCCAGGGCACCTGAGCCAGGTGGGCAGGCACACCCAGCCCAGGCGGGCAGGCACACCCAGGGCACCTGAGCCAGGTGGGCAGGCACAGCCAGCCCAGGTGGGCAGGGCTGAGCCAGGGGGGCAGGAACAGCCAGGGCACCTGAGCCAGGTGGGCAGGCACAGCCAGGGCACCTGAGCCAGGTGGGCAGGCACACCCAGCCCAGGCGGGCAGGGCTGAGCCAGGTGGGCAGGAACACCCAGGGCACCTGAGCCGGGGGGGCAGGCACAGCCAGGTGGGCAGGGCTGAGCCAGGTGGGCAGGAACACCCAGGGCACCTGAGCCGGGGGGGCAGGCACAGCCAGGGCACCTGAGCCAGGTGGGCAGGCACACCCAGCCCAGGCGGGCAGGCACAGCCAGGGCACCTGAGCCAGGTGGGCAGGAACACCCAGCCCAGGCGGGCAGAGCTGAGCCAGGGGGGCAGGAACAGCCAGGGCACCTGAGCCAGGTGGGCAGGCACACCCAGCCCAGGTGGGCAGGGCTGAGCCGGGGGGGGGCAGGCACACCCAGCCCAGGCGGGCAGGCACACCCAGCCCAGGTGGGCAGGCACACCCAGTCAGGGCAGGGCTGACCCACCCCGGGCCAGGGGCACACAGGGCTGGCCCCAGGGCCACTGTGCCCATGCACAGGACACACACAGGCAATGCCAGAGCCCCGCTTCTCCAGCAGGTTTATGAGGATCTCCTCTAAACATGAGTTATTGCCAGCAGGGCAGTGCCACGCACATTGGAACGCTGCCCCCTCTGCATCCCTCAGGACACAAATGCTATTGGAATAATGGAAATAGAAACGTTAAATACCTTTTCTACCAGCTCCTGATTCCTTCTGTACAACGCCTGCTTCTCCTCAATCCACTTCATGTCCTTGGGGAGAAATGAACAACACTGCAGGTGAAGCTGCAGCATTTGCAACAGCAAGGTGCAAGTATTTAATGAACCTCAACGCAGAGGGACACAACAGTGAGGGCTGTGAAACTGTAAGACCATTACTTCCTAAAATAACTCCCTAAGCTAAATGCACTTTTAACAGCTCTGTAGTTCACAAATGGAATAAAAACATTCCAGCGATTAAAAAACTCTTTCAGGAAAAATCTGGTTTGCATTAAAAGGGATATTCCCAACTATGTGTTTATTATGAAATTTCTGTTTTGCCAAATACAAATTACATATTTCTGCAGATCAGGCAAACTAACTGAAAGCTAATCTCTTAGTCTGAGGAATATATAAAACCCACAAACCCAGAACATCATTTATCAGCAAGAACAACAAGAAGAGGTTAAGCTGGGAAGGCAATGATGGAATTATTTAACATTTAATTGTTCTCAAAACCATTTTCTGTTTACTGCTGTTGTTGTTTTGGCTTTTTAGGATTTTTTTCTTTGTTTGGTTGTTGGTTTTTTATCAGCAGAAGTGGTGCACAATCTGTAACCAGCCTGGGAACCCTCCTGGTGCCCCAGCAGAGAGGTGGGCAAGGGCTGGAGCCAGCATTACCTGTCCCTGCTCAGCCAGAGCCTTCTCCAGGTCCTCTATCTGAGCCTGGGACCGGTGAATTTCTGCTTGGAGCTGCTCACGTGTCTGTGGCATTAGAGAGAGAAACAAAAAGCAAAAATTGATAAAGAATAATTTAAAAAGAAATTTTAAAAAATCAAACTTCCTCCAAAAGACCAAACCTAATGCAGTTACAGGAAATATTTAAAACCCCAAAGGCTTTTAACAAATTATTTTGAAAGTTCCCTGGCAGAAGAAATTCACAGCTGAGCACAGAGTATCAAATAATCAAATGTAATCAAATCAAGTCTGGGAGATAGGATTACTGATTTTGAGATTTGACTCAAGATTAACAAAATGGCAAAGCAGAGCTGGCCCTCACAGCTGCTCAAGGCAGGCTGCAGCCAGAGCCTCCCTTTCTCCAGGAAAACAAATGAGAATTATTATTGCACAATTCTGGGCACACCTGGCTCCCTTAAATCTGGGGCACGTTAAACACTCAGAGCAGAGCCCACATTACAAACTGGCAAATTTCATTGACCTTTGTGCCTTTGGGGCCTTATCTATCATTTAGTGCCATATCTATTTCATACGCATCTCTCATTTTTTACTGTATTTGTAGCCTCCTGCTTATTTAGATAGACACCACATTCCTGCACATGTTTTCTGGAGAACAAATGTAATTATTTCTAGTTGCTGTATTTGTTACATACTTTCACAGAGCATTTATTTCCTCGAGCCATTTCTCTGCTATTTATCCGGTTATTTACACTGAAAGTGATTTTGTTTGCATGACTGGTGCCTCCTTTGGCCACTGTGAAAAGACTAAAATCCGGAATCCAGTCACTCTCACAGCTGGGCATGCCTGGGCTCACTGGGATTTTCCTTCCAGGTGCAATTCCTGGTGTTTCATTCTGGGAATGTCAGTTTTCATGCTTTACACCTTGACCGGCTCCCAGTGTTCCTGGATAACACCTCCACAGAACAGGTGTAGGAACAAATTAGGGCTCTGCAGGCACATTTCTCCTGTTAAACAGCAAGTTTGCCCCTTTCCTGACTGCGCCCACCCTTGCAGGCTGGGCATGACCCATCCAGCCAGCCCTTCAGGGAGTCAGGGAATGGTTTGGGTGGGAGGGGACCCCAAATCCCCCCAGTGCCACCCCAGCCATGGCAGGGACACCTCCCACTGTCCCAGGTGCTCCAGCCCCAATGTCCAGCCTGGCCTTGGGCACTGCCAGGGATCCAGGGGCAGCCACAGCTGCTCTGGGCACCTGTGCCAGGGCTGCCCACCCTGCAGGGAACAATTCCCAATTCCCAATATCCCATCCCACCCTGCCAGGGAACAATTCCCAATCTCCCATCCAGCCCTGCCAGGGAACAATTCCTAATTCCCAATATCCCATCCAGCCCTGCTAGGGAGCAATTCCCAGTTCCCAATCTCCCATCCATCCCTGCCAGGGAACAATTCCCAATTCCCAATCTCCCATCCATCCCTGCCAGGGAACAATTCCCAGTTCCCAATATCCCACCCTACCAGGGAACAATTCCCAGTTCCCAATCTCCCATCCATCCCTGCCAGGGAACAATTCCTCTGTAACTCCTTGGCACACACAACAAGCTCCCAACAATAGCAGCACCTCAGGCCAGCTGTCCAGAGCCACAGGAACCCTGTGAGGCACGCAGGCAGAATGGCACAGGGCACTTTGCAATTTAATTAACAGAAAAATCTCAGCTATAAGCCTTCTAAACATTTCATGAGGAATCATGTAATCTCTCAGAGCCCAGAAGGAATTAAAGACCACGCATTACATATTTAAGGCTATCTGTCCTAGTTCTTTATAGAAAAAGAGCTTACTTTCAAGGATTTCCCATGAAAAGCTCTCCCTGGCTTTCCCTTGAGCCCAGCAGAGGTGAGAAGCCCGAGCTGCAGCAGTGCTGGATGCTCAGCAGCCCTTCCAGGGGGCTGGCAGCACTGAAACTACTTGAGGGAAGTTGGTAGTATCTAAAATAGTCTTGTTTTGCTACCAATAAGAATGGAGGGGACACTATTCCAAATTACAGTATATACAGAGTTAGCAAATTTACTTGTCTACAGTAACAATGTATTTTATCTAACTACAAGAATAATTTAATTTCATTCCAATAATTTCATTTATGTCATTACCTTTTCACTGCTTGAGTTTTTCACTCTGGGAACCAGACTAATCAGTCAATGTCAGTCAACACAGCTTAACTACTGATTTAACTATGTACCGGAGCCCTCAGGTGAGCTGGAGAGCAGCCTGGGCCCGGCCAGGTGAGTGCCCGGAGCCCTCAGGTGAGCCGGAGAGCAGCCTGGGCCCGGCCAGGTGAGTGCCCGGAGCCCTCAGGTGAGCCGGAGAGCAGCCTGGGCCCGGCCAGGTGAGTGCCCGGAGCCCTCAGGTGAGCCGGAGAGCAGCCTGGGCCCGGCCAGGTGAGTGCCCGGAGCCCTCAGGTGAGCCGGAGAGCAGCCTGGGCCCGGCCAGGTGAGTGCCCGGAGCCCTCAGGTGAGCTGGAGAGCAGCCTGGGCCCGGCCAGGTGAGTGCCCGGAGCCCTCAGGTGAGCTGGAGAGCAGCCTGGGCCCGGCCAGGTGAGTGCCCGGAGCCCTCAGGTGAGCTGGAGAGCAGCCTGAGCCCGGCCAGGTGAGTGCCCGGAGCCCTCAGGTGAGCTGGAGAGCAGCCTGGGCCCGGCCAGGTGAGTGCCCGGAGCCCTCAGGTGAGCTGGAGAGCAGCCTGGGCCCGGCCAGGTGAGTGCCCCACCCGCCCTGCCCGCCCCACAGCCCCATTCCCACGGCACGCACGCCCTGCAGACCTTGACTTCCCGCTCTGCATCCAGGGTGCCCCCGACCTGCTCCTGCAGCAGGGCGTAGGCGCGCTGCAGCGCCTGGTACTCCATGGTCAGCTGCCGGAACCGCAGCTCCGTCTCCTCCTTGGCCATGCCCTGCCAGCACACAGAACGAGGGGTTAGCTCTGCTGTGCCTTAGAATGGCCAGAGTTATCCCTTGTGAAATGCAATTCGGAACCATGGCACAAAATATCTTGGTTAAGTGTGTTTTGCGGAGATAATCAAAGTTCTACAGCTTTGTGACAGTTGTAAAGTCGGGATGTTTATTACAGCGCTGGACACATGTGAGAATCATCCCCTAAAATGACATGTGTACTTCTGGGAACTTCAGGTCCCTTTTTATCCCCCTCTCGGATACATATGCATACAATTCCACAATAGGTTCATACATATTCATTTTTACCAATTTCAGGTGACATTTGCCGCTAGTTCTTATTTACCAGAAGGAATCCCTAGGTCAGGCTGAGCTGCTCTCACAGCAGTCTCTGTCTCTCTCTATCACCCTTTGTCTCCCCATCTTGTCTCTTTCCTTCACTGGAGCAGTTTCTCTGAGCCTAGGCCTTGCAGTCAGGCTACATAGCCATGTTTGCTAACCACAGACTCAATTCAAAAATGTACATTTCACCTAATTCAAAATGGATTTCTACCCTGGAAAATTTCCACTCTGCCTCAAGTGCCCTCAAACTGCTTCCCCTCTGTCCCCTGCACATTCCTTGCATGCTCTTACCTCCAGGAAGTGCAATACAGAAATAAAAAGATAATCCCTGCCTTGGAAAGATAAAAGCTTGCCTTCCATATAGCACATTAATGACTGCACCACCCTTTCCTACTGGAACAGGGAAAATCATCACATTAAAGGTGAAAATGCAGCTTTCTTTAACAACAAAAGGTTTCAATTTGGAAAGGAAACCAAGCCTGACAGACTCACTCAATTATTAAAACATGAATCCAGACTTAATAGTTGTAGAAGTGGTGACAGCCAACATGAAAGGAGCCCTTCATCTTCTTCACCCTGCTCACAATATCCAGTGTGGAGTTCTTTCATGTCTGACCGGAATATTTCACTCAACATGAAATGGAATTACATTGCTGGGTGCATGCATCAATTCCACAGGCTGAACGGGGGAAGATGTCAATACAGAATGGAAAATAAACAGGCTCATGCATACACAAATGCATTCAGATTTCCTGCAGGGCAGCCTGGTCAGGTATCGTTCATGATGGAGTGAGGAATTCTGCAGGCTCCCTTTCTGCAGGCTGAATTACACACCTGCAGCCAGCACGGCGTGAAAAGGCTGCACACCATCAGGGGCAATTCTTGTTTATTACAAGAGTCTTGTTGAGCCCAGAGCTGTGTAACGGGCCAGTGATCTGACACACACTGGGGAGTGCATTTGTGGGGAAGCCCTGGCAGATCCAAGGAACAATCCCTTTAATTTGTGTTCCATTTGTGTGCTGTGCTCTCAGAGCCTCCGGAACCCAGGCAGGAACCAGCCCTTCCCTGGAGCCCAGAGCTTCAGGGGAGCATTCACTCCCTCTCCCTCCTTACACAGACCTTACTGAGCCTGGCTGGCCCAAACTGCACCTGCCAAAATCTGCAGCCAGGCTCAGAGTGAACACACCTCCCAAGGCCAGTCCAATTTCTCAGTGTTTTAGACCTGAAAACCTGCCATAAATTCAATAATCTTAGGATATGAGATTTCCAGCTTGGAAGCTATGAAGTTACTGAAGACCTGATGCAGTCTCGTTCTGGATTTAGAGATACTGACCGCCATGCACAGCACCAAATTTAACAGAAGTGTTTCATTTTGTGGTCTGAGGTGACAGAGTGATAGAACAGCTGAGAGAGAGAGCAGCAATGATAGACAGAAGTGATGGAACAGGGCAGGGATTTCATCAAACACCAGCACCAAGCAAGGCAAGAGGGTTTTTGAGGAGTACCTCTTCCAGGTCATCCTCGGGCGTGCAGGGGGTCTGGTCGGTCCGGTCCGTTTGGTAGGAGATGGAGGAACCATCAGACTCCAGGGAAGCCTCCTCATCGTAGCCATAGAACGTCTCCACCACTGGCTTCTGACAGAGAGCAGGGTCAGGGAGAGCCCTGGCACTGGACAGACTGCCAGGGATCCAGGGGCAGCCACAGCTGCTCTGGGCACCTGTGCCAGGGCTGCCCACCCTGCCAGGGAACAATTCCCAATTCCCAATATCCCATCCAGCCCTGCCCCTGGCACTGGGAGCCATTCCCTTGTGCTGTCCCTCCAGCCCCACCCAGCTTTCAGACAGAATGTGACTCCCCGAAGGCCTGGATGCGATGCTCAGGATGACAGGAGTTATCTCCCATCGACCTCAATTCGTTATTCATAGGTTCATTAGCTCCAGCCTCACTCTAATTGTTCATCTGTGGATCACAGCACACTGGCAGCCCTGACATGAAACCTTTCTGTGACATTTTAGTGTTAATATTTACATTAACACCCTGCCAAGCCCTCATTAACCAACATCCCCTTTTCCCTGAGCTCTAACCATTGCTTCCCCAACCAGCAATTTCCACGTTACTAAATTCCATCATGAATTATTTACTGCGTACACATGTTTTCAGGCAGCACCATTAGAAGATCATTTGGAGATGTGTTAATTCATAAAATTTGTCTGCTCTTAAGACAACCACATCCACCAGAGTCCCACAGGGTGAATGCAGAGCATGAAAAGGCTCAGAATGCTCGATGCAAACAGGTGCCCTTGAATATCCCAATGCAGTCTGTCCATGTCCTTGAGCTACATCACCCAAACTGAGGCTCAGGACCCATTTGCAGACCCTTGAGGAAAACTTTGCCATGGCCCTGGGGTGCTCTGAGCACCCTGTCCATCAGCACGCCACCATGGAAGGGTTTGTTTTTTACCTTAGGAATTCTTGTCATTTTTTTCCTTTGCTTCCTGAACCGTAGCAGCTTATCACGTTCCTGCAGGAGTCAGAGACACTGTTAGCTGTTTGCAGAGAGCAGTTACTGAAATTAATCATTGTTAATTGGCTGTCAGTACAAGGGGACACTGGGGAAGCAACAGACAGGATGTCCCTGCTGGCCACTGTCCCACACCATCACCAGGCCTGGGCTATGTACTCCAACCTCTTTCAGCTTTGCCACAGACAAGTAGAAATTGCTCTTTCTGTCCATGGAAATCAAGCTAAAATATGATAAGCTCTATGCTGAGAGTCTGGGTGTCCCCGTGGAGCTGCTCCCTGGGTGACCACGGCCCTGCAGCCCTGTCCCTGGTGGCTGTGGGTGCCTCTGGAAGGGACACACACCCAACACACTGCACACACTGCAGGGCCCCTTTGAACTCTGCACTTCCAGGCTCAGCTCCTTCCCTCGGGATCTGCAGGCTCCCTCTGCCTCTGGAGCAAGGTTTGAGCCCTTACTGCTGCCAACAATTTTTCCAATCGGAGGAAATAACAGAATAATCAAATTCCAGGTTGGAGGGACCTTAAATGTCACCTCCTTTCACCCCTGCCATGGCAGGGACACCTCCCCCTGTCCCAGGCGCTCCAGCCCCAAATCCAGCCTGGCCTTGGGCACTGCCAGGGATCCAGGGGCAGCCACAGCTGCCAATTTCTTCCTCTTTGTGGGATTAGGTTGATTTTTTACAGTACTCAGCAAAAGTCTCTGTTCTGTTCTTGCAAAGCCCAGGAGTGCAGAGAGGGGAGCTCCACAGGGGAACCCTCGGCTGCTCCATTTCCCTGGGCACAAGGATGAGGTGACCTTGGGGACAGCGGCACGGCTGCTGCTCAGCCTGGTGGCCACTCCCGGGCAGGGACAATCGAACTCTTGTTGCCTGGCAATGGCAACAGCACGTCCCATCAATACCCATCAGTGGGGAGCCCCAAACATTTCTGTTTGGAACCCCAAACATCCCTGCCCACTCCAGCACGGGGACAGGGCGAGGGCAGGCTGAGCACACCCTGCTGTGGGTCACACAAAGCCAGGGGCAGCCAGAGTGAAAAAATGCAGTTCCAAGGGGACAGAGCTGCCCTGGAGATGGGGACACTTGCCCTTGGCCATCAGGACAGGATTAAAGCTTTCCTCCCCACCATCACTGTGCTTTTCTCTGGTGAACAACTGCTGATAAAAAATCTGCTCTGAGGAAACCCCTGGGTGAGCTCACTGCTGAACTCAGATGGAAAGGAGAATAAATATTATTGTACCCTGCCTGCTTTCCATGAACAGCAATTTAAAGCATATGTAGGTGAGGAGGAAGCTAATGTCACTCTTACCATGACACTCTTCACATAGCCAGCAGTCTCCAGGGTCTAATGAAAGAGAATGAAATAATGTCAGTAACTGGCCAGGCTTAAAAAGAAAGGGAAGAAACAAAATTTATTTTCTAGAGGAGTATCATTATTGTGGTGTTTTCTGTTTCCAAGGACAGAGAGCACATTAAGAAGGAAGCAAACCCCCAGCCCAGGGTTGCAGACCCCTCTCTGTACACAGGAATGTTCATCCCTGGTGGTGTGTCCAGCTGAAGGAGCTCGGACAGTTTCCCTCCCAGACCTGGCCACCAGCACGTGCAAGGACATGGTTCTGTCAGGCCAGGCCAGTGCAGATCGGAAGGGTTTCCCCAAACACCACACCACAGATAATTTCTATTATTGCTAAGCACAGAAATGCCAGCCAGGTTCCCCTGCTGCCACTGTGCCCACCAGCTCCCAGAACCTCAGGCACCCCTTCCTTGGGTTTCCTGTGCTCTGCCCTTGGGCACCCTCACATGAGAGCAGCAGCCTCCCATCTTACCTTGGAGAGCTCATCTATGATGTTCTGCTGCTCAATGACTTGTAGTCTCAGGAAATCCACTTCCCTTTCTTCCTGGCTGTTGTCGAGGTCATTTAGGGAGCTTGGTCTCCTTATTGCTCCACTTCTTTGCCTCTAGAACCCAAAAGCCACAGGGCAGAGGAGGAAACGATCAGGAGGCTTTGCCAGGGACTTGTCTGGCCCTTCCCTTTACAGCAAGCAGAAAACATCTCTCTCACGGTTGCCCTGGCAGCTCTCCTGCTCCCTTTCTGCTGAGCCTCACATCCAGGCTCCAGATGTGCCAGAGGGTCCTGCCCCTGCAGCTGGAAGAGGGGCAGGGTCACAGGGGCAGATTCCCTGTGAGGGATTGTGAGGTGATTCTGGCAGGAAAGGCGAAGGTGAACCACAGAATGCCAGGTGAGTTTGGGCTGGAAGGGACCTGGCCAGAATGGAAGAGTTTCCCATGGAACCTGCGAGGGTGGGCCAGCGCCTGACTCCCCCAGCCCCACCACGTCCCAGCTTCTCCCAGGGGCACAGGCACGCACCATGGCGATGTTTTCCTGCGTCACAAATTTCAGTTTGTTTTCCATTCGACGTAAGGCATGGGACAACTCCTCATTCTTCCTACTGAGGCGTTTGTTTTTGTCCAAAATGGGCTTATACTGACTTTCTGCTTCTCTGAGACGTTTCAGCTGAAAGAGAAAAATAACGCCTCTGGAGCTTTTTCATCAAATATATTAACTACTTTCTGTAACTATCACGCTAGAAGTATTTTCTCCTGATGCAAAGCAGAACTGATCAAAAACTCTCTGGATTTTCCATTGGGAAGAGAGCATTCCCACACAAGAAGATTTGTTGTAGGGAGCCCCCAATGTGCGAATAAAATGCTTTGACTCTAATGATTCTAGAAAGCTGAACAAATGCTTTATTAAGCTTTATTATATTACACTAATACTATATATTAAAACTGTACTGAAAAGATACTAAAGAAAAACTCGTGACTGTCTCCAGACAGTCACAACACAGTTTTGACCTAATTGGCTAATCAATCTAAACAACCATCACCAGAGTCCAATTAACGAATCACTTTTGGTAAACAATCTCCACAACACATTCCACATGTGTCAAACAACAGGAGCAGCAAGTAGAGATAAGAGTTATTTTCTCTGAGATTTCTCTCTGCCTTTCCCTTGGAGAAATCCTTTGGAAAGTTATGCTTGCTGCTCTCTGTGAAGAGAGCTGTGGCTACAATGAGATATTCTGCCTGTGTAGCAAACATTCAATGTGGGGAATGTACTTATTTTTAAAAAGAAGTACATATAATTCCAGCTAATGACATTTTAAAAATGCACTGCTGCACAAGCCAAGAGGGGAGTGACGCAGCCCAGCCCGGGCACTGAGCTGAGCAGGAGGCAGCAGGAGGCAGCCCCTCGTTTCCAGGCAGCACAGGAGCAAACCCAGGGCGCTCCTGGGGCAGGGCACACGTCCCTGGCCCTGCTGCACTCACCAGCTCGTTCCTCTCCTCCGACAGCAGCGCGTTCCTGTCCTCCAGCTTGCGGATGATCCCGCTCAGCTCCGCGATTTTCAGCTGGAAGCGCCGCGCGTCCTTTTCATCCAACTGCTGTTCCTAAAACAAAGATCAACTGCAAATAACTGCTCGTAAGTGCGCACGCAAGAGCACGTTGGCAAAACTCAAACTTTTCCTTATCCCGAATGCAAACACTTTAAAATGTTATCGCGCAGAGCGTAACCCGTGGAACCCAAGTGACCATGGAAAGCTGCAGGGTGAGGCGGACGGAAAGTCAGGAGTGGAAATGGAACAAAGAATGCAAATGCAGAGGTGTGTATATGCATATGTATGTGGATATGCATATGCAAATACAAGGTCACAAATGTGACAATACAAATGTGCAAAGTTTACAAATGGTAAACTTGGAAACAACAGAAAATATCAAAACTGAAGGCCGTGTTCCAATGGTGCCACTGTTGAACTGAGAGCTTCAGACACATCGCCCACTCTGAGGACTTGGTCATGAGAAACTGGTATTAAAATTACTGAATGGGGAAAATCCACGCAATTGGGCATTGAATAAGCTCTTCTTCCAGAAAGCTGCGGCCCTTATGGGGTCCTGAAGGGTCACTCATAAGGCTACAGGGGTAGCACTTTAATTGAGTGAAAGCGCTTCAATCAAATTAGAAATGAATAGACATATAGGTAGATGTGTTCTCATTCAGAATCAGAGGAGTTACAGCTACTGACAAACGTGACAGACTTTTCCCCTTCTCTAAGACTTGTTCTGGTCTTTGGCAGAAGTTGAGTACAACTAGAGAGAGGCAAATTAGTGCCCACAAAAAAGTGCTGGTGGCACTTTTGGGAGGTCTAGGGTTCCTCATTCAACAGGTGCAGGAGAGGCTTGGGCCAAAGAATAAAACAGATTGGTTTGCTCAGGTATAAGTTTTACACTTGTACTGAGACAATCGAGGCTGTCGCAAAAGAAATCTTGATGAGGATCAGCAATGAGGACGACGTGCACACGTCAGAGGCACGAGGGCAGTTACCCGAGGGCTCTTCTGGGCAAAGGGGGCCCCAGCAGGAGCGGCCAGAGTTACACTGCAAAAGCCACTTTGAGGGGTGATTCCAATCCAATGCTCTGGCTGTTGCAGAGGACAAACAGCAGAGGACAGGTTAGGAGGTGTTTGGTTCGCTCTGTGTCCTGCTGGCAGTGACACTGCCCTGGGGTGCAGGTTCCATGCTGCCCTGCAGTGCCTCCATCCCCTCTGGAACTGGCCTCGTACGTCTGCTCCCCAAGCCCCAGCGCCTCCGAGAGCTCGCACACAAACAGCACTTGGTGAGAAATGCATTTGCATCGTTTGTTGGCACAGTCGTGTCAAACTGTCAAACTAAGGCGGGTGGCTGAGCATGGCACAGTGAGGAAAAGGAGAGAAAGGACAGAGCAATTCCACCCTTCTGACAAAACCAAACCAAACCAAACCAAACCGACCGGGAAACAAAAAGACAGAAAGCAAAAGCTCTCCCATGGCGAGGTCTGATTGGAAATCTCAAGGGTTTGGGCACACAAAAGCCAGAGCACGAGCAGGCGCCTCGGGAGCCCTGCACAGCCATGGGACAGCTCTTGCTCCAGGGTGCACTCATCAAGATTCTGCCGCTCGTTTGGTCGCTCGTTTATGTGAAACCACGTGGAAGTGCTTACGGGGCTTCCCGAATGATCTGAAGCGTCTCCTGCACCACTTGCATAAGGAAGTTCCCGCTTGGGGCTGCTCAGATGCCGGTCAGACTCTTTGAGCTGGGACAGTTGTTCATCTAAAGCCTCCTTTTGGAGCTGCAGTCTCTGAGCGTGCCCGGCTCGCACCCCTAACTCTCTCTCCAGCACGAAGACTGCTCTGTCCTTAAACTTAATCTCCTCCATCTACAAGGAGAACAGAACACAGTCACACAGGGCTCGGTGGCACCCGAGCACCCCAGGGTGGCACAGTGACAGTGAGCACTGGGCACAGCACACTGCCCTGCTACCCACAGTGACAATGAGCACCCCAGGGTGGCACAGCACTGCTGCCCTGCCACCACAGTGACAGTGAGCACCGGGCACAGCACTGCCCCTCTCCAGGGCCACCCAGCAGGAAACCCCTCCTTCAGCAGGCAGCTGGCAGTGCAATATTGGGAAACAGTCTGAAATCCTATCACCACTTCAGAATATCTGAACAAAATTAAACATTCTCATCACACTTGGATTGCTTTACTCAAACACTTTAGAGATTCTGCAGCATTTGGCTTGGATGTCACCTCTAGGAAATGTGGATTAATAATTTTTAAAGAAAGATATTGAAACCTCTCTATCCTTTAAATTTTCAAAATTCCTAGAAGAAATATGAATTTTTAAACTTTTTTTTAATGAAAAGTCTTCCTTGTGAGCAATTCCTTTTCCATGAGAGGATTTTTTACACATAATAAACATTATGCAAAATCACAAAGTGCTAAAATGACAAATGCCCAGTGACCTCTAATGCTCTCCTTCCCTGTTTGCCTATGCCAAGGGGCTGTGCACATCCTGTGGGATCAGCCAGGATCCAAACCCTGGGGTCTGGCTGGAGTTCACCAGGGTGGGTGGGTCCTGCCAGTGAGGGAATCCCTGATCCCAGCCCAGTGAAGGAAATCCCTGATCCCAGCCCAGTGAGGGAATCCCGGATCCCAGCCCAGCTGATCCCAGCCCAGTGAGGGAATCCCTCATCCCGGCCCAGTAAGGAAATCCCTGATCCCAGCCAAGTGAGGAAATCCCTGATCCCAGCCCAGTGAGGAAATCCCTGATCCCAGCCCAGTGAGGGAATCCCTGATCCCAGCCAAGTGAGGAAATCCCTGATCCCGGCCAAGTGAAGGAATCCCTGATCCCGGCCAAGTGAAGGAAATCCCTGATCCCAGCCCAGTGAGGAAATCCCTGATCCCAGCGCAGTGAGGGAATCCCTGATCCCAGCCCAGTGAGGAAATCCCTGATCCCAGCCCAGTGAGGGAATCCCTGATCCCAGCCAAGTGAGGAAATCCCTGATCCCGGCCAAGTGAGGGAATCCCTGATCCCGGCCCAGTGAAGGAATCCCTGATCCCGGCCCAGTGAAGGAATCCCTGATCCCGGCCCAGTGAGGGAATCCCTGATCCCAGCCCAGTGAGGGAATCCCTGATCCCAGCCCAGTGAGGGAATCCCTGATCCCGGCCCAGTGAGGAAATCCCTGATCCCGGCCCAGTGAGGAAATCCCTGATCCCGGCCCAGTGAGGGAATCCCTGATCCCAGCCCAGTGAGGGAATCCCTGATCCCGGCCCAGTGAGGGAATCCCTGATCCCAGCCAAGTGAGGAAATCCCTGATCCCGGCCCAGTGAAGGAATCCCTGATCCCAGCCAAGTGAGGAAATCCCTGATCCCAGCGCAGTGAGGAAATCCCTGATCCCGGCCCAGTGAGGGAATCCCTCAACCCGGCCCAGTAAGGAAATCCCTGATCCCGGCCCAGTGAAGGAATCCCTGATCCCAGCACAGTGAGGAAATCCCTGATCCCGGCCCAGTGAGGGAATCCCTCATCCCGGCCCAGTAAGGAAATCCCTGATCCCAGCCAAGTGAGGAAATCCCTGATCCCGGCCCAGTGAGGAAATCCCTGATCCCGGCCCAGCTGGGCGGGGGTGCTGCCCACGCTGGACCCCCCCGTCACAGCCCGAGTGGCAGAGGTTCCACAGAAAGGCAGCAATCACTCCCATCCCCATCCCTCAGGGCTCTGCCAGCTGCTCTCAGACTCCACAAACACAAGATTTTTGCCATCGGTTTTTGGGATTTCAGACATTTAATTTCAATGGTCAGTTTTTGAACCTGGCCTGCTTGAAATAAGAACACTTTGCCTTGCAAGAGCTATGATAATACTTTTATCTCTGCTTTGTCTATAAACCTGGAAAAAAATGACACAGGCATCAACAGTCACTGCAAGGACTTTGCTTGCAGTAATTGTAAATGTAGCTCACCCAGGGCAGGTGCTGGCAGGTCAGCCAGGTACCAGGAAAGCAAAATGGAAAAAATGAAAGGGATTTTGGGGGCCATTGACTCACAACCCTTTCAACAATGTCAGTGAAGGCAGCATCTGCTGACTTAGAATGAAACAAAGACATAGGTGCTGCAGAGCACCTGAGGTCTTTCTGCTAAATGCCTCATGAGGAGAAATCTACATGGATGCACAGGTGAAAAGATAACACATCATCAAATGATTATTTGTTTAAAATAAGCAGCATATTGGGTAGTTGATTCTTATTCATATAGAAACAAAGACATATTACAACAAAGGCAACACATGAAATTGGGAGGAACAAAGAGATGAGAAAACACAAAACATTTCACAGCATTTCACTAATGCCTTGTTTTCCAGAAATAAAGAAATCCCTAAACATAACCTTCATAGACCACAAGCAAACCTCAGCATTGACATCTTCCCTCACCTGAGGACATTCCCATACATGACACATGCCCAAGTTTGGTGCCTGCAGCCCCTGACAGACAGAGACAGCACGGATGGGAGAGAAAGGTGTGCCTCAGCACGGGGGGAGAGGAAGGAAAGGCAGAAGGGGTGCTCAGAACTCACTGGCAGTGCTGCAGGTCCGTGGGCACGCTGCCCTCGGGCAGGGCCAGCCTGGCCTCATGCTGGGCTCTGCTGGGCTGTACTGGTGCTGTACTGGTGCTGTGCTGGTGCTGGACCAGGCTCTGGCTCCTGTCCCTGCTCCCACCCTGGTGCTCCGAGCGGGGAAGGGGCGGCAGCGCAGGAGCACCCACCCGCATACATACATACATACATACATACATACATACATACATACATACACACCCACCCATCCACCCACCCACCCAGCACCTGCATGCGCCCGCTGCGCTCGGAGCTGCAGGAATCCTGATGAATATTTATGTGTCTGCTGCTGCAGGCAGCCCCGGCACAGCTGGTGCCAATTACAGAGCAGCAGCACCGTGCTCAGGGAGCTGTGCTGCTGCTGCTGCTGCTCCTCGCTGCTCCTGCAGCTCCAGCCTTTGAGCCGTGACTCTGTCATCGAAGTTATCATTGCCATCCTGTTCTGACCCAGGCTGAGGGTCCTGGCTGGGGTACCTGTCCCTGCCATCTTCCTGGGGCCCCTGCCAGCTGACTGATGCTGTCCAAAATGGCCTTTGCAGGGGGATTTCATCTCCCTGCACCACTCTTGAGGCTGAGAGCCAGGGCCAGCTGAGCCAGGCACAGAGAGCAGCAGCCACAGGGCCAGCACAGCACCGGGGCCAGAGCAGCCTGAGCACACCCAACAACACCCAAAACCACCCAAAACCACCCAAAACCACCCAGCTGCCTTCTCTGTGCTGCCTGCAGTGCTGGGAGCTGTCAGCCCTGCTCCATGGGAACAGGTCATTTCATTGGTGCAGGGAGCCAATCTGATTCCTTCAAGCAGGAACTTTAAAAAGTTTGATTTTCAAAGGCAGTTTAGATAACACCCCGTTGAACCACTCTGTTCCCTGTAACTAAGACCATATTTATTTAACAGCTTCTACATTAAAGGCCATTAGTGGGGACTTCCCACGTGATGCAGCAAGTTTATTTAGGATGTGCATTAGGCCCCCATTCACTGTGCTGGGTGAAATCAATGCACCAGTGAGGCATGGCTAGAGGAAAATTTACTTACACTGCAGGATATTTGAACAGCATCAATAGAGCAGTTGGTTGTAAATTATTTTCAATATCCTCTTGATACAAATAAAATATTCTATGGAAAAGCTTTAACAGCCCAAAGTCTGAGAGAAGAGGAGGCTCAATAAAGGCAGGGGACACTGCAGGGCTGGCGTGCCAGTCCCTGCCAGGCCCTGTGGGGCTCAGGCTCAGGTGATGCTGTGCAGCATCCCCAGGGCAGGGGTCCTGCGGGGGTCTCTGCAGCCTGGTCACACTGCCAGCCCTTCATCTGGGGCCAGGCTGGGCATTTTGAATTTATTTGGGGTTTGGGTAACAGCTGATGACTTAGAAGAGGCCTGGATGGGTCTGTGCCAGGACACTGAGGCTGTGAAGCAGCACGGCAGACACAGAATGATGGTGACACCACACAGAGACCGAGACAAGACCCAAACACACACCCTGAGGGCATGGCTGTGTCCCCAGGCCCCCCTCAGGGGCTCAGGTGTGGGTCACACACCTCCCTCCCTCCTTCCCACGGGGATTTCCCCCTTTCCCAAGCACCACCACCCCTCCACCCTCCCCAGCCTCGCTATGGGATGTTCATGGGAGCCAGCAAAGGCAGGAGAAGGGAGGGACCAATGTGGATCAGGAGGGACCAAGGCGGATCAGGAGGGAAGGGTTGGTGAGGAAATAGAGGCATAACCCAAGACACATTACTGTTGTGGCCTTTCCCTGCCCAGCCAGGAGCCTGAGGGCTCTTCCTGCTAACCTTTAATGTGAACATATCCACGGGCTCTCACACGGATAAAGAAGTCTCTCACAAAACATCCTAACACTTTTAAAAACCACTTTGCCCTTTACTAGTAAATGCAAACACACCTGGAGCAAGCCCAGAGCCCCCACAGCCGCCCAGAGAGGCCAGCTATGATAATTTCCCCCCAGGAGCACGAGGAAAGGAGCAGGGAGCAGCACGTACCAGCCTGCGGATCTCGCGCTCGCACTCCCTCTTGATGCGCGTGATCTCCTCCTGGTGCAGGTGGTACACGCTCCGGATCTCCGCTGCCTTCATCTTGTCAGCCTGGATCACCATGGTCAGGGCCTCCTCCACCTGCTTCTTGGCGCCCTTCAGCTCGGAGATCTCCTGCTGCATTTTGATTTTCTCCACTTCGAAGCCCTTCTTGGCCTCCTCCTTGGCCTCGCTCAGCAGCACGGTCTTCACCTTGTCGGGGGCCCCGTCGCGCACGGCGTTCAGCAGGGTCTGCAGCCTCTGGATCTCGTTGTCCTTGATTTTGATCACTCTGAGCAGCTCGGCTTCGTGCTGCCTCAGGAGAGTTTCTCGGACAGCCTGGAGCTCTTTCATTTTGTCTTCGTGGAGTTTGACTTTGAGCTCTGTGACCACCACTGTGCTTTTGTGCTGCTCGTGCTCCTTGATCTGCTTCACTTCCTGGTTTTTCTCCCTTTCCAACTTGCTGACCTATAGGGAAAATCAGAAAAGTATAGTATTTTCAATCAACCAAATGTGATACCATGATACATTTAAAAATGGTACAGATGACTTTACAGTATTACACCTCAGTGCTGGTATGTCTGTGCCTACAAACTGGTGGTAGCAAAGACCTTCCTTTCACTGAAGGCTCATGTTTAATACACATTCAGGAATCAGTCAGCACCTTCTGAGCAAGTCTGAGTCCTTACTTTATTCTGCAGAAGCTCTCACGGCACATTACTCCCAAAATAAGGGAAAAACCAGATGCCCAGGCCATCACTCTGGCAGGCAGGCCAAACCTGCACGTGCACAGGCAGGGCACAAAAATCTCTGTGCAAGCTCCTGTGAAGCCCCAAACAGCTGCATTTTACCAGATGGCTTTTTAAAGTGATGAATTATTCAGCAGAAATAACTGACTGTACCTGACCACACAAGGCTCAAGTGATGTTTCAATTTAAAACCATGCCATAAACTGTAGAGAAGACATGGCCAGAAGTGGCTGTGAAGGACAGGGAGAAGGAAAACAAAGTCCTCTGCCTTAAAGTTGCAAATGCTGTGGCACAGCAACAGGATCAACAGATGTTCTATTTATTGATACCTGTGTGTCAGGTTCATGGTCTAAAATGCCTAATAGTGATGCAAATTCATGGAAAATTTCAAATTATCATTTTGTTCCTGCAGGGTAACACATTTCTATTCTGGAACTGAAAACCCCCAAAGTCTATCACAGTGGAAACTGATTTGGAGAACTGGGGAAAAGCAAATGAACATTCCTTGCTCTTGCTGAGAAGTGATTTGAGGGCAGGAGCTGCAAGCTCTTGGAGCTGGGGCTCCAGCCCCATTGCTGCCCCTCTCCCAAAGGCTGAGGGAGAAGCTGTGTCTCCTTGGAATCTGGGAATTAGCACAGGGGGCACAGCTGAGGGTTAGTACTGCACATCTGGGTGAGCACTCGGTCTGGAGGAGCTTGAGTGCAAACCCCAAACGAAATGAGTGTAAAAGGGCAAGAGAAGTGTCGCAGATATCTTTTTATGAAAATCTTTTCTTTGGGGTTTTTTCTTCCTCCTGAGAAGCTGGGAGGCCTCAGGAACAAAATGCAAACAGTGGTTGTTTGCTGTTGTGGAATGCAACAGGTGCATCTGGGATTGGTTTGGTGTGATTGTTTCTAGTTAATGGCCAATCACAGTCAGCTGGCCCGGACTCTCTCGATCCTGGCCCCCCTGGCCCCTCTGGACACAGCGAATGCGCTCACAGGGAGGGGAGCTGCCCACCTTGCTCTTCTCCTGCTGGAGCTCGATCTGGATGTCGGTGAGCTTGGCCCGCAGCTCCTCGTTGGCAGCCTGCAGGGCGGCCAGGGCGTCGGGCTTGTCCCCCCTGGCGCGGCTGCTGGAGCCCCTCTTGGCCATGCTGAGGGGGCCCTCGCTGCTGCTCGCTGCTCACATCTTCTGGGGCCTGCAGGAGGGACACAGACACAGGAGGGACCTGTCACCTGCCGGCCAGGGACACAGCACCCAGCACAGGGACAGCGGTCACCTGCCGGCCAGAGACAGGTGGGAGCTGCGTCCCCAGGAGTGTGCAATCATGGGCTGAGTGTGCAATCACAGGCTGAGTGTGCAATCACGGCTTTGCCCAGGCTGAGTGTGCAATCACAGGCCGAGTGTGCAATCACGGCTTTGCTGGGGTGGAACAGTCCTCTAAGACCATTCAGTCCAATCCCCACATCCACACGGCCTTTGCCTCCCTCCAGGGATGCCATCCCAGCTGGGCTGGACAGCCCTTCCATCCATGGAGCAGTGCACCCCACACCCAGCCTGCCCCTCCCCTGCTGCAGCCCCTTGGCCCATCCCCTGTGCCCTGGGAGCAGGGCCTGTGCCCCCAGCTGCACCCTGCTGCCAGGCAGCGTCCTGGTCCTTCATCTGGACAGTTATAGTCCCGGAGCCCACACAGGGCACAGGATGGGGAATTCAGCCAGGGCAGAGGATGTGGAATGGATACAGAGCAGAGGATGCGAAATTCAGACAGTGCAAAGAATGGGGAACCCACACAGAGCAGGGGATGTGGAACCCACGCAGAGCAGAGGGAACCCACACAGCACAGAGGACATGGAATTCAGAAAACGGAGAGGATGTGGAACCCACACAGAGCAGGGGATGGGGAATTCAGGAGGGACATCCACCCACCAGTCCCCGGCCCTGCCACAGCTCAGAGGCAGCCACCACTGGGAAGATTTTACTTCTATTCTATTTTCACAGAATCATGGAACCACAGATGGTCATACCACAAAACGTGCTCGTATTTGGGAAAACATCTCCAACCTTTTCAAAGCAATCCTGTTGAGGTGGGTGGCAGTGCTCCTGGCTGGTGACCCTCAGGGCCTCGCTCTGTCCCTCATGGCCCAGCCACAGCAGAGGCACTGTCCCTGTCCCTGTCCCTGTGCAGGCTCAGCAGGGCAGGGCACCTGCAGGGAGAGAGGAACCATCAATCACAGCAGCAAAGCAGCAACAGAACCAACCTCCAAACAACAGCATAATTTAAAAAAGCCTGGTTTGAACTCTAGGAGCAAAATCCTGAATGTGCCAGGGAGAAAAGAGCCGAGGGAGGCAGCTGCTCTGGGGGTACAAAAATGGGATACAAGGCTGGCAGAGGGCAGAGCTGCTGAGAGCCAGAGAAATCATGTAGGACATTGGGTCAGAGGGGAGCATGGAGGATGAGACCTAGAGACACAAGTGGGAAATAAAATAACACTCCTGGTATTAACTGTCCAAACCAAGGTGGCACAAACAATCTCAGTTCTGCTGTTTCTCAGCCTGGTGCCTGACTTTGTAGCCTGGAAGTTTCTATAAAAAGAAACATGCTTGATTGGGCAAAGAAATAGAAATGAATTAAATTTTAAAGATATTGCCTGAGAAATCTGTAACATGAGTACATGCTCTTTGCATTTAAGATCCGTGCTGCTTTGTGCAAGCAGACACAACACACCAATGCAGATTTAAAGCCCCCTTTCTTTACTGATAAAAAATGGGGCAGCCTGTAGCCACAGGCACAGAGCTGTACCTGCTGCAGCAAAGGAGCCCTTTGTGCACATTACAATTATTTTCTTAGAGGATTCCCTCCAAAGGCAGGGGCAGAGCGAGCCAGGTTAGCAACCAACAAGCCTAAACTGCTTCCACATGAATGGCAGACAAATCATCATTTGAATGGCACAGGGATTTGAGAGAGTAATTGCTGTCAGGATTCCTTTGACAGAGCTGTGAGAATTTACATCTGTGTGCTTACAGAAAAGAAACTCAGGAGCTGGTACTGAGGAGCAGAGTTTGCTGGGTGGGAATTGTGTCTGAGGTCAATTTGTAGAACCACATATCCTGATACTTACAGTGTTGCAGCTTTTTAATTTTCTTTAAAATGTTATGAAGGTTTAATGGTGTGAATTGACACACTTCATGACAAGCAGCTGCTCGGATCATTGAACTCCAACTGCTGGCCCTGCACAGGGCAGCCCAGGAATGAGCACTGTGCCCACTAAACCTTGTCACAAATGTCACAAATGTCACAAATGTCACAAATGTCACAAATGTCCAGCCCCGAGGAGGTGATGGTGGAGCCTTCCCTGTGCACAGCAGTGGGGATGTGGTGAAGGATGGCAGAGCCCAGGTGCGAGGCTGCAGCCAGGTGTGTGTATATACATATATATATTTATTTATTTATATATTTTATATATTTTTATATATGTATATATATGTGTATATATGTGTATATGTGGTGCTGGGGCCAGCAGAGCTGGACTCGCTGTTGCTGTTCCCAGGCTGAGAATGGGAGCAGGGCTGAGCAGGGCACGGCTGCTCCCAGCGACAGCCATGACCTTGTGTGTGTGTGCAGGGGGACAAGTGCCATTGTGCGTGTGTGTGTGTGTGTGTGTGTGCAGGGGGACAAGTGCCATTGTGCGTGTGTGTGTGTGTGTGTGTGTGTGTGTGCAGGGGGACAAGTGCCATTGTGCGTGTGTGTGTGTGTGTGTGTGTGTGCAGGGGGACAAGTGCCATTGTGCGTGTGTGTGTGTATGTGTGTGTGTGTGTGTGCAGGGGGACAAGTGCCATTGTGCGTGTGTGTGTGTGTGTGTGTGTGTGTGTGTGCAGGGGGACAAGTGCCATTGTGCGTGTGTGTGTGTGTGTGTGTGTGCAGGGGGACAAGTGCCATTGTGCGTGTGTGTGTGTGTGTGTGTGTGTGTGTGCAGGGGGACAAGTGCCATTGTGCGTGTGTGTGTGTGTGTGTGTGTGTGTGTGTGTGTGCAGGGGGACAAGTGCCATTGTGCGTGTGTGTGTGTGTGTGTGTGTGTGTGTGTGTGTGTGCAGGGGGACAAGTGCCATTGTGTGTGTGTGTGTGTGTGTGTGTGTGTGTGTGTGTGTGTGCAGGGGGACAAGTGCCATTGTGCGTGTGTGCGTGTGTGTATGTGTGTGTGTGTGTGTGCAGGGGGACAAGTGTCATTGTGTGTGTGTGTGCAGGGGGACAAGTGCCATTGTGTGTGTGTGTGCAGGGGGACAAGTGCCATTGTCGGGGCCACGACAGTGATGGCCTGTGCCCCCACCAGAGTGGCCCTGGGCACAGGGACCAGCTGGGACCCGGGGCAGCTGCCAGGCCAGTATTTATCACAAACACTGGAGAAAACCATGGCACAGAAAGGTTTCCAATCCAGCAGCACTGTGCTGAGCCAGAAGCAGGCAGGAGGAGGCTCCTTTATGGATGAGGAGAAAGCTGACGGGCTGTTGGTTTGTCCAGTGTCACTGGAGAGGTGGCACTGTCACCCTCCAATCCAGGGTCACTTTTGGAAATCTATAAACGTTGGAGTCAGAAAATAAACTTCCCTTTTCTTCACCTTGAGAGCAGCAGTGTGAGCTTGTGTTCTTTGGTGTCCTTTAGTGACACTTTGCCTTCATTTTTCCAGTGAGTTACATAGAAGGGGCAGCTATCAGACACATCGCCGTAACAGAACAGAAAGGCCATGATATTTCTGATGCTGGGAGAATAGATGATGCATCTGATTCCTGGCATGTTTGATATTGAAAACAGCATCAATAATGCATCAGAGCTGCCTTGAGCAGGGCTCAGCGCTCCCTTTGCCTCCTGACTCGCAATTCAGACATCAAGACTAATTGGGAAATGTGTTTTCTAGGTAGTAGCTGCAGAAATGAATGTTTCACCATGCTTAAAAATAAGTGAATTAATCCCTACCCAGGGTACCAATATTTGAAAGCAGAACGCTGTTCCTACAAATATGGAACATTTCCAACGTCTGCTCAGCCCTGCGAGCACTGGTGTTCTCTGTTTCTGACAAATTGCTCTGATTTATTAGTTTAAACAAACCTTTTTGAGCCTCTGGTGCACCTTGAAATACTATGATAGAAAAAAATGTAATGGTTGAGTTCACATTTTTTCATATGAGTAATATCCACGTTCCATTTAGGATTGCACCAGCCTAGAGATCCAAATGCAAGAAAATGAGTTTTCCTCTGAAAAGGAATTTCATGCTAAGCCATGTAATCCTGTCCCATGCTGGAGCTGTGCTTTGGGCTTTATCCATATAAACATTTGTCATATATCCACAGAAACATTTGTCATATATCCACGTAAACATTTGTCATTTATCCATATAACCAGTGCATCACTCAGCTCAAGGTGAGAAGGAAACCTGTTGGGATTGCATGGCAAAAGGAGCGAGCACGCCAAGACAGGAACTGTCCTGCACACAGGGAGGGCTCTGTTGTGCATTCCCTTCACATGCAGATCCCAGCTCCATTCCCTTCCCTGGACATTCTATGAAGATTTATTTTTTCCTCTATGCGGTTTAGATTGAAACTAATTTGATAAAATTATTTTTTAAGTTATTTTAAATTTAAAATAAGTTTTAAAATTATTTTTGGTGACCCGAGCCAGACCTGCAGAGAGGCCCATCTGACTGTCCCCGCTGTTGCTGAGGGAGCTGCAGGCTCCCCACATGCCAAGGTAACACACCCTGGTACCCACAGCTGTGGAGCAAGTCTCCATTTCCAGAGGGGAAATAAACCACCAAGCAGTGCTTCCCCGTGTGAAGTGGGCTCTGAAACCCATCTTTCATGAAATAACATCTGCTTTAAATTCAAGATAACCCTGCCCTCAGCCCCCAGGCCTGCCATCCCTGCAGATGGAGGCCCGGCCAAAGTTTGGCTGAGGATTAGATCGATTCCAGCAGCAGCTGCAACAGACACATGTCAAATCCCCCCTGACCCGGATTTTTCCTCAAAGATTAATCCTTGCACCGCTGTTGGCTTTAACTCCTTGATGGGCGGATCGTGTCCTTTGTGAGCTCTACCCTTGCAGCCTCTCCTTGTGTGTGAGGTTCCCTGTTTGTGCCACACCCAGGGATGGGAATCCACCCTCTGGTTCCTCAGCATAACTCTCACACAGCTTTTTTGGGTTTTGTTCCAAGTGCAAACCATATTTGGGTGTCAATTATGAAGCTGATTATGGTTCATAGGGAGCACCTGGAGCTGTGCCAGGCGGTTTGGATGGGTTTTGGGGAAAGGCTCATCCCCAGGGAATGGGCACAGCCCCGAGGCTGCCAGAGCTCCAGGAGAGCTTGGACAGCACTCCAGGTGTGCCCAGGTGGGGTTTGGGGTGTCTGGGCAGGGCCAGGGCTGCACTGGGTGATGCTGAGGGTCCCAGCTCAGTCTCTGAACACAGCACTGGCAGGCACAGCTGCTGTAAATCTCAGCAGGTACAGTTTACTGCAGGACACCTGCTTAATTGTACAGCTCTTAGGGCTAATTTGCAGAAAGAGCAATAATTAATTAAAACAGGTGACTGGGTAGGAAAGCAATTTCCCCTTTTTCCCAGATAACCCCCAATATTTAAGGTACAAAAACCCATTGGAGTTCCTGCAATAAGCTCCAATAACACACCCATCCAAACGATCTGTTAGGCTGCAGCAGTAATTTGGGGAGGGCTGTTAGTGAGGAATATATTTCAGACCCAATTCCACGAGTTTAATAGCGCGTCACTGCCTCCCCTTGCTCACAAACAAGCTGTTAGAGCAATGCCATCCCTTCTCCCGAGGAATCCATGCCTGTGTAATTAACTAAATCAACTGTAACACAGATGGCATCGCACCATCCAAAGGCACTTGATGGAAACATTTTAAGCATGTTATTAACATCCCTAAATAACTATTTAATGCTACCTCTCCAACCCTCTTCGGCACCAACACACAACACAGCTGGATTTGAGCATGGAAAAGGCAGTATTTAATTGCTACACTCTTATAAAAGATTTTCAGTTCTTGGATTTATTCAATTTATAAATGAGCTTGAAAAATAACAGACTCAACAGTGGCAACAAACCCACTGTGCTTTGGGTTTCAGAATTAAGGTTAATTTCCAGACTGTTTCATCATCATTCAATTCAGCTGTGAGGAACTGGGCAGCAGAACAA